AATTTGGATTGAGGCGATGGAGCATGAGGATATGGGGCTTAAGCCCCAGGGAACCTCTGTTTGCCCCACTGGTGAACTATGCAGGTAGGCGGAGTTTCCCCAAAGGAGCAAAACATGGCTTCCTGGAGCTGTCTCAGGCTGGGGAAATGGCAGCCGGGGCAGGCTTAAACCCTGTCTACCTTCAGTCTATGGTCCTGATCCAAATCAGGCTGCCACACTCATGGGAAACAAGTTTCAGTGTGTGCACCTGCCTGAAAGGAGTCTGGACGTACTAAGGAGCCTCCGCAAGGAAGGGGAACTCACTACAATGACAACGGACGCAGGTGGATTCCCGAAATTCTGTGCCCAGGACCAGACTTTGCACTTGGTCTCTTGCTTGCTTGGAGCAGTGACATTCGCAAGGCTCTAATCCCAACTACAATATAGAAGAACAGAGCAGAAGTTCCTGCTCTTTGGGACTTCAAATTAATCTCCCCTATACCATAGATCCCAGATGAATTCCCTGTCCACGTTACCCCCTCCCTCCATAAGAACCACCCCCAAATCTGGATTTGACAACCCCAACAGCTACCTGTTGGCGGAAAGGTCTCCTTTACCATTTATGACTGGACAGAAGGACCATTTGGCAGGCCTGTGTCATTCCACACACCTTTCCTTTCCTTTCCTTTCCTTTTGCCATCAAGTCAAGCTGACTTCTGGCGACCCCTAGTGGGGCTTGGGATGTTCAGAGGTGGCTTGCCATTGCCTGCCTCTGCATCAGGACCCTGCTAGTCCTTGGAGGTCTCCCATCCAAATACTTGTCAGGGCTGACCCTGCTGAGCTTCTGAAATCTGACAAGATCGGGCTATCCAGGTGAGGGCATTCCACACATTTTCATGACCAATCTATATGTGGTCACTAGGCCCAGGGATGTTGTTGTCGTGACGCAAATGAGTCACGATTTCAGTTGAGACAGTTAATTGCCTGGCCCATGGGAAATTGGTCTAAGGAGCTCTTCCGTGCAGCACGGGGGTATTTGCTGTTGATCCAGGCAACCCAGGACATGACAGTCGCTTTTTTACTCAGGGGCTGGGATAAGGGCCTTTGGGCTGGTTAGGGTAGGTTGTTCAATAGGGTTGCCAGGCCTCCTGGGTAGAGTAGGGTAGTTCTAGGAGTTTCCAGCAATTCCTAGAACTACTGTAAGTCACTTCTAGGTGTTTCCCATGAGTGATGTCACAGCACACACAATGTCATGGCCCCACCATGTTCCCATCCCTGATGCTCCAGCCAGTTGCCAACCCTGGTTGATAGAGATGCACAAACTCCTGTGGGACCAGATCATCTCATGATCACCAGTTGTGTATAACCCCCTATTTGTTGATGATTGGATCACACATCGCCAAGCCTTCCATGGCAGTTCTCTGCACAGGGCACGCACCCAAACACTCAGCTTTCATGCATGCATGTTGTCTCCTACACTCCGATGGCATTGCTGCAGCATAAAAATGGGTCTTCTCTGCAAACAAATGTAAGTCTACGGCAAATGTCTTCGAAAAGGAATTGATTTTACACTCTGTCCTATCTCTGGGTGACATCATCGTGCTTTGGCGCGATGCTTTGGCACTTTGGCGTGATCCTGGCACTTTGGGGACGGGGTTCCCCCCATCGGCCAGATCCGGGCTGGTGGATTGGGGGACCCTAAAGTGGGCAAACCCCCTCCCTCAGTGGGGGAATGGCAAGCCTACACTAGGTACATTAGCAGCTACAGGTCCAAGAGAGTTCTATCCCTCTGGGTTACTAACGGTAGGGGCTGCTCATCA